GGGGCCCGGCTCGACGGCGCGGACCAGGGGAGCGCCCGGCCCAGGGCGTCAGCTCCCGCAGCTCCACCGCGTCCGGGGCGCCTTGCAGCAGTGCACGGTCTGCGAAGGGAGGGAGAGAGGGAGCGGGGTCAGTGGGGGAGTGTGCGTGGGGAGGGAGCCCCTGCCCTGCGTCTGCTCCTCACTCCCAGATCCCAGGTATCCTGCCCGTTCGCTGGGCGGCACTGCGGCTGCTGCGGGCGGATACATACTCAGACCCATTCCAGGTCCCCAGGCCTAGCAGCAGCCCTCTCTGCACCTTGCACCTCTGCCCCAGAAAAGGGGACACCCCACCTGGGTGTCCGGGGCTGCTTTCCAGCCCACCCTGCCTTGAGCTGCCCTGGCTGGGGTCTCTAACTCACTTCCCCTGGGCTTCCTCAACCCTTCCCCACGACTGCCCTCCCCACCGGTTCACTTTCCCAACCTCGCCTGGATCCAGCCCTATGCCGCCGCTGCAGGGCAGGGGCACCCTCTCTGGGCTGCGTGGAGGGGCTGCTTCCTACCCCTGTCTCTCCCCTTGTAGCTAGGCTGTCATTGTCTAACTTGCTAGGTCCTCCACCCAAGGCCCCCAGGTCTTCTCCGGGCCCCTGGACCGCTCACACCCCCCGCTCCCTGCCACCCACAGTGCAGTGTGTTTATTCCCCACCTGGCAAACCAAAGTGGGGTGTTCAGGTTTCTCAGAACTCAGGGAGGAGCAACAGGCATTGAGGCCTGCAGTGGACGAGGCCTATGTGGGGCCCCCATCCCAGGGGGTGGCAGCAGCTACCGTCAGGGCGCCCCTCATGTTCCGAGTGAGGAAACTGAGCACCCAAGCGGGCAGACACTTGGCCAAGGTCACACCTCTGGCAGGTGGCCGAGGGCAGGTAGGGGAGGCCCAGAGGATGGTGTTCAGGCCTTCACGGTCACCCACATTTGGCCCAAGACCAGCCCTCTTCTCCCACGGTTGCTGGGAGGTGCCCTGGGTCACAGATTCCCAGCACTCCGCAGCCTAAATTTATTATCCAAGCGGCTGGCCCTGCCCCAGACCCCGCAGCCCCAGGAGACAAGCAGAGGCCGAACAGCAAACAGTGAGGCCAGGGAACTGCAGGCACCAGGCTGCCAGCCCCAGAGCCCCCAGCGGGGGGTGGGAGGGGAGCTCGGGGGAGTCCAGTCTCACCTGCGCAGGGCCGCCTGGCTGGCCCTGGCTGGCCGAGGAATGCACTTCCTGGGAGGCCCGGAGGGTGGGTGTCTGTTCCCACAGGGGTCTCAAACCAGGCAAACCCTGGCCCTGAACCCGCTCTGCCACTTTGAGCTGTGCAGCTTCCGGCAGGTGATGGCCCTGTCTTGGCTGGGGCGGAGGGACTGCGTGACCATGTTCTGCAAGCCCAGGGGCAGTGCTGTGGGGTTGGGTGCGGGCCCAGCCCACTTCAGGTCCTTCAAATGCCATCATTACTGTTCCCACCCCAGAGGTGCGTGGGCAGCTATTCAAGGGGTGCCAGGAAAAACAGGTGCGCGGTTGGTATGTCTGTGGCCGCGGCCCTACAGCAGAGCTGGCACCTGCTGGGGTCTGGTGCTGAGAAGCCCCTACCACCCCGCAGGCCTGAAACTCTACCACCGCATTCGGTCCAGGGCCTGCAGCATCCGGTTGCTCCCCCAGCAGGGCTGGGCTCAGGGACAGTATGCGAGGCAGGCAGGCCCGCGCCCGTGGCTGAGACCTCTCCAGGTGCCTGGAATTCCTCCACTAGAGCATTGCCCGCAGGTCCTGGAGCGCTGGCTTTTGGGGCCCCTCCTGGGACCCAGTATCCTAGGAAGGGTTTTTCTGCTTGGGGGGCGGGGCGGAAGTGGAGCTCACGCTGGCGGCCACCCTTGTCCATTGTAAGGACAAGAAGAGAGGATTGTGTGGGCTGGCAGGGCGGGCTCCGACGTGCACACAGGCGTGCTTGCGGCCCACGCCCGCAGGCGCCCTGACACGCCCGGCCTGCATCTGAGCCCCTGCCGCCCGCGTGGACAAGTGCGCCGCGCACGCGAGGTCGGGGCCCACGCACCCTCCGAACCTGCAGGGGGCAGGCGCCAGGGGCGGGTGGGGAGCCGGGCCAGGGCCACGCCCCTCGGTGGGCGTTCCCCTCTCCCTAGGCAGGCCGTCTCTGTCTCCCTGGTCCTCTCTCAGTCTGTGGGCCTCTTCCCATTTCGAGGTCTCTCTGTCTCTCCCTTGGTCCTCGTGCACCCAGGCAGGTCAGCAGGGCCCTGGGGCTGTACTCCCTCGTCCTCCACCCCCGTGGCGCTCCGGGGGCCTCCGGGCCCAATGCCCAGGTCTAATCTCCATCTGCCCCCACGGCCCTGCAGGACCGAGCCTAATTCCTTGTGACAGCTGAGCTGCAAGACCCTGGTTCCCAGCGGCCACCCCACCCGCCAGGCCGCTGGGGGGATTTGCAACCTCCCTCCGGCCCATCTGGAAACCTCTCCGTGACCCCCGCTTCCCACGGCACTGCCTGGGCGCCCACTGTGGCTACCCTGTGTCCGGGTCTCGGATTCTACAGGCAGGGGCTTACACTGGGCCAGGCGGGCGATCCGGGCGTCCAGGGTCCGCGGCGGGCGGCGCAGCGGGGCCAGCGCGGGTCCGAGGCGGTGTCTGAGCATCAGGCCCTCGCGACACATCCAGATGGAAAGCACGGAGCTGCAGAGCACCGAGGCCAGGGCCGCCGCCTTCCAGCGCTGCATCGTCGGCCTGCAGGCACGCGAGGGTCAGCCGGCGTCCCTCGGGCAGCCAGCGGGGTGCAGGGTGCGGGGCCAGGCCCTGCGGGCGCAGTGGGCCCCGGCTTTGAACAGCCCTGCCTAATGATCAGTAATAACAGCAATGATTCATTAAGGAACCACTGAACGGGGCTGTGCGAAGGCCCACGAAGGAGGGGGTGGGTCTGTACCGGGGGTGATGGGAGCGCCCCCAGCTGGGGGTCCCAGAGTCCAGGCCAGGAGACGGCCAGCGGGGGGGGGGGGGACGGCCAGTGCAAAGGCCCTGCAGCCCACTGACCCAGGCCAGAGGGAAAGAAGGGGAGGGATTCTCGCTAGGTGGCGCTGTGGGACAAGACTGAGGAAGAGGGTCGCTTAGGATGGGGTTGAGACTCTCTTGCCTGCTGGGGTCCTTGAGCAGATCCCTGCCCCTGCCCCTCTCTGAGCGCCCACGGGGACAAAGTGGCACCCCAAACTGGGCAATCATGAACCAGCGCTCTGCCAGACATTGAGTGCGTGTC